TGCTGCCTGATGAGATATTCGTGCCCTGTGGGCTGCATGTGGCCCTTGACAGCTAGAAATGTGACCTGCGGGTTATGCAGGGATTTAGAGGATGGGTCAGCACGCTTGACAGTCAGATGCAAGGATATTTCTGATGATACAGGGACAGACACCCTGGATGACGCACTTCAGTCTTCTTCTGTCCTTCCCTCTTAGAACCCAGGAGAAGGGTTGTTGAGTGGAAGTTGTACACTCTGCGACAAGGAAATGGCCCTGCACATGAGGAGGTCAGCGAGCCCCAGGACGACGACTTCCTGTGTAAGCGACCCTCTTGGCCTGACCCCGAAGGACAAGGCAGAGTTAGGTGTACACGCAGTCACTTGGGGCTCAAGGCGCCACTCACTCTAGGCACAAGCAGTGCAGAATGGAGGGCAGAGGGAGGGGGGTGGGCTCACTCCAGAGCTCTCCATAGCGAGGAATACACACGGATTATATGGTTCCTAATCCCTACCATGCTTCCTTCAGATTGTGAGAAGTGCAAGACCAACTTCATCGACAGCTGTCCCGCTCATGGGCCCCCTACGTTTATGAAGGACAGTGTGGTGGATGTGGGGCTTGAGGACCACGCAATGCTCACTCTGCCCCCTGGGCTGAAGATAGGACCTTCGAATATCCCAGGGACTGGGCTCGGAGTCTGGAATGGGAACTCCACCCTGCCTGTGGATGTGCACTTTGGCCCCTACGAGGGTCAGATCACAGAGGACGAAGAGGCTGGCCTCAGCGGTTACGCCTGGATGGTGAGGGGCCTTCCTTCCCTGTCTCCTGGAACCCTGCTCCCCTCCAGTGTCCCTCTGCTGCACGGGCTTGGTTGAGCTGCTCAGCTCTGTGTCCTAGTTGCCTTGGAAGACGACAATATCCCTGGTGCAGGATAAGATGCTGAGTGGGGCAGTGCCACACAGAAATGGAGTAGATCCAGCCTCTGTGGCTTCCTCGCCTGTCTGCAGATGCTGGGCCGGCAGGCTGCAGGAGCATGAAGGGAGGGGGTGACAGTAGCCTCAGGTACAGCTGGCGGCTGTAATCCCTCCCAAATGAGGACAGTAACTCCTTTTACCAAAACTTACATTACTGAAGGGAGACAGAGCTACAAGTACGTGGACGGCAAGGACACATCCCACGCCAACTGGATGAGGTGAGGACACCAGGCTTCCTGGTTCCACAAGGACATGTGACCCTCACTAGCCCGATTCCTTCCCTTCTCATCCCTGATTGCTACCCTCCCGCTTAGAGAGTGGAGTTCCCTTCTGACCAGAGTCTCTGTCGCTGTAGAGGGCCTGAGGCAGAGCACATGGGAGGTTTTACTGCAGGAATATTTCACTGTAATTTGGTGTTTCTTCAACAAGTACAGAGCAGAAAGGGAAGTGAAAGCAAGGGACCTTTAGGCTGAGAGAGGTTAGAGACTCTGAAAATAGTCCTGAGCCTGGGGAGAAGTAGACTGCACGAATGTGAGGGGTCCCTATGCTGACTGCCTAAGTGATTTGAGAGAGGGGCTCTTGCTTCAGCAAAGAGGCTAGGGGATAGGGACACACTGATGCCATTCTGAGTCATGGTACTAAGGCAGACAGGATTGCTTAAATGCATGTGGGAGAGGAGGCGGCCTCCCTGGGCAGGTGATGGGGGACTTTCCCAAGATGACTTGGGCCAGGGTTGCCTGGTAGAGGCTACCCCAGAAGCAGAGTCCTTGCTTAGCTCTAAGTTTCAAGGGAAACAACACACTGATTTATACATTGGAAATGCAAAGGGTCCTTGGGTTTTATGCATGGCTATGTGTTTTTGAAGTCCAGGATGGGGCGTGGAGCACTGGGTACTTAGGTGGGGGAGAACTGGAGGACTCAGATATAAGTGGTCATAGGCCCTGTGGAAGAAACCAAGGTGAGAACAGTAGGTGCCACCAGGAGTAGGGGCGGTGCCAGAACAGGGAGGTGTCTACCACTCCAGGGATGGATGGACACTGATGTGATGGGGACACAAAAGGGATCAGCTATTTCCTTCCTTTCCACCCTGAACCCCAGGTACATGAACTGTGCTCGCATTGAGGAGGAGCAGAACCTTGTGGCCTTTCAGTACCACGGGCAGATCTTCTACCACACCTGCAAGGCCATCAAGCCTGGCACAGAGTTATTGGTGGGGAACAGGAACGAGTATGGCCAGGAGCTGGGCCTCACATGCAGCAGCAATTGGAAGAAACAGCACGTGAATGGGAGAGGTAGGCACCCCTGGGCTTCCTTGCATGAAAGGGGGAAGCTTCTCCCCGGGAATTCCCACACTTCCATTCATAAGGAACTTGAGGTGCAGTCCACCTTCAGTGAAATTTCTGATCCCTGACTTCGAAAGGGAAGGATGAGAATTGCATGCTTTTGATGCTTAGAAAGATTTTATCTATTGGAATGTTTGTTTGGAGTCTGTTTTTAAAGCATGTAGTGCACAAATTTCTACTAAATGTGCTAAGGGATGGTTGGAGCCCAAGTAGACATTCTCAGCTAGGTAGCGCCCTCACAGACCTGGCTTCTCCTGGCCCATGCAGTGCTTTTTTTTTTTGCCCCCACTCTCTTCAATTCCCAAATAGTGTGCATGAACTGCAGACTGTCTCTTCTGCCAATTAGCTGTCACCTGCGTTCCTACCCTGTGTCAGGACCTGGAAACCCACAACAAAGCAGACAAAAGCCCTAATGAGTGCCGCTGGCACCTGGCTCTTGCATGGGGACACGTGCACTTGTGCGAGCATGCGCTCAGCCGGGGCAGTGGCTGAGCCTCTGAAGAATCCCCCCAGGGAAGAGTATGCCGGGGTCCGGTGGGCCAGGATCACATGTGCACCAGGCCGGGCAGGGCTTTCCCAGTGGGGAACAGTTAAGGGGCCTGGGTGTCTGTGGGCAGAGGGCTCCATACGTGGGCAGCACTTTGTGTAGCTGCTGAGAGGTGGGAAAGAGGCCAGGATTGGACCTGAGGGGCCTGTGACTCCTGCCGAGTCATGTGGGTGCAAACAGTTGTAGAGCTGTCCATTCTATGTCCCGGGCTCATGTTTTGGCATGTTTGGAAATTAGCCCCCAGAGCTAAAGTTGTAAGAGGATGCTTCAGTCTCCAGCTGAGAAGGTGGCAGGTGAGGGTAGATGACAGAGAGAAGCCGTCTGACAGGCAGAGATTGTGAGGCCCAGGGAGGATGTACCTTCACCTGACGATTTAGGGAGCCCCGGAGAGAAGAGATTGCTGGCCATGATGTGGCCATGGAACACTGAGCCCATTGGTTATGAGTGTAGAGACGCTGAGCCTGTCCTGTTTGAATCCTGCTTCCTCATGGCGACCCGGGGCAAAAGGGAATCATCACGTGTGTCACATTGCACACAATTCTCTATCTCGGCACTGCTCTCAGATACAGCCCACCACAACCTCCCATAGCTATACCACTCCAAGGGGGGTGACTGGGATGGGTCCCTGTACCCTCTCCCTGGAGAAGCCAATGGGGACAACATTACCTAAGTCATCAACTCTGCCAGCTCTCAATGGGATAGATCAGCAGCAGAGCAGGAGTCAGGAAACGGGTCCAGGATCTGTGAGGGACCGGGGCAGAGGGCAGCCAGGGGAGACAGGGAATGACGTAGGAGATGGTTGTGTTCTGGGCGGGGGCCCATGCAGGTCCTTGGGTCACAGGTCTGCCCAGGGAGGGCCCTGGACTGCTTGCCATGTCAGAAAGGCTACTGAGGCTGACATTGTGGATTTTGTTAAAAATCGGCATGGGAGAGACACCATGGGCCAAGATTGGTGGGGACAGTGCTTGGTGGGGATAGCACTTACTAGGGACAGTGCTTGGTGCAGACAGCTGTGGGTGTGAACAGTGCCTGTGGGGTCGGTGCTTTTGGAGATATCGCTTAGTGGAGACGGTGTTGGTGGGGACAGCACTGAGTGGGAAGAGCTGTGTGGGGAATGCCCTCGGTGGGGTGGGGAGGGCTGGGCGGTGCTGTCAGGCCTGAGGGAGTGTGAGGACCTGCACTCTGAGAAGGAACTTCTTTCAGCAGAACCAAAGGCAGAGATCCACCTGTGTCCCTTGCGCTCTCTGGCCTTCTCCATTCGGAAATTTCACAGTGGCTATATAAACCACGGTCACCTCTCTCAGATCCACTGGGTAACAGCTACAAGCAACACACTCCAAGGAGAAGATGCCTGTCCGGGGGATCTCCTCTGGAAACAGCAGCAGTCCCGTCCTCATGACCGGAATGATGGAGGTGCATGGGGAGAGGCCCAAGGGAGACCGAGCCCTGAGCCCCAAACAACAAGAGTGGGACTTCAAGGGATACCCCCAACCCTCCAGAGGGACACATGGGGAGGTCTGGGGAGAGTGAGGGGATGACTGGGCAGGGGCTCAGCACAGGCCAGACCCTGCCTGTGGGGGTGGGAAGCTTACAAATTGCAACCATGAAGAGTAGAGAGTTTGAGCAAGGCCTCAGTCACCCATGGCAATTCAGCGGGAACCAGCCTTCACCAGCAGGGGACAGTGGCTTTGCTTGTAGGGACTGTGGGCGGGGCTTTCTTTATCAATCACTGTTCATCAGGCACAGAAGAACACACACAGGAGAGAAGCCATATGTTTGAGGGATTGCGGGCGGGGCTTTACTTGTCAATCAAACCTCACCAAGCATGAGCGAACTCACACAGTTGAGAAGCCCTACGTTTGCAGCCACTGTAGGAGGGGCTTTACTTTTCAATCAAACATCACAGAGCACAAGAGAACTCACACAGGTGAGAAGCCCTATGTTTGCAGCGACTGTGGGCGGGGCTTTACTTTTCAATCAAATTTCAACAAGCACAAGAGAACTCACACAGGTGAGAAGCCGTACGTTTGCAATGACTGTGGGCGGTGCTTTAGTTTACGATCACGCCTCACCAGTCACCAGAGAACACACACAGGAGAGAAGCCCTATGTTTGCAGGGACTGTGGACGGGGCTTTAGTGCTCAATCAAACCTCACTCAGCACAAGAGAAAACATACAGGAGAGAAACCCTATGTTTGCAGGGACTGTGAGCGGTGCTTTAGCCAGCAATCAAGCCTCACCAGGCACCAGAGAACACACAGAATTGGAGCCCAGTGCTCACAGAAATATTAGGTCATGCGCAACATAACCATACCCCAGAGCCACAGAATAACTAATATAACCCTACACACCGCAAGGCCAGGTCTGAAGGTTCTTCAGAAGAGATGACTGACGCCTCCCTTTCCCCCAGGTGTAAAGGGACCAGAATTTAGCAATTAAAAAGATCCTGCAGATTCACAGCCAGGGATGTAGATTGCAGGCAATGGTTTTGTAAATGTTCAAGGGTTTCTCGTCTGTTTCTTCCTGACAATGGTGCCATCTCCCTGTCTAGGTTTTGCCCTCCTGTTCTAATAAATATTTTCTCCACATGAATCTGAAGCCCAAGCCATGGTCTTCATTGTGCCCTAAAAATGAGTTGAGGAGCAGTTCTTGTGGGCCTCAGGGAACTCACTGGAAATCCTCCCGAGTTACCACATCCTGGGGTCACTGTACTTAAATGATGGAAGGATCAGTTCTCCGGGCCACCGAGAGGAATTTCGGTTCAGGACAGAACTGGCTCTGGGAATGAGATTTCCTGTTCTCCTGGGAAGTGAGCTTCTCCCTCCCCCTTCTGCTGTGCTGTTCCCTTGGTTCCCCCTGGTCCTCTTGCGCTGCATTCCCTAACTCCTAGGCTTAGCAGTGAGAGGCAGGCAGGAGTATGTGTGCATGAATGTGTGTACTTTGTGTGTGCACAGTGTGCATGGACCAAGGGCGAGTGAGGTGCCCTGACTGTGTGCTTCTGTGTTGGTCCAGGAGGGCTGCGTATGCAAGAATGCCCAGGTGCGCTATGGGTATGTCCAACTCTTAGTGTCGGAGGCTTGTGAGCATGTCTTGCACATACGTGTGTACATAGGCTTGTGTGATATGTATACATATGTAAAACATG